CCTTTCGCCCTGCCCCACCAGGCCACATCTCTGACTCCTTCCAGACCTTCCAGCAGGGTCGAAGAACTTCATGACAGTGTAAAAGTTTGAGGTCTCTCACTTGTGGAAAAGCCTTAAGATCTGTTTAAAGAGAAGGTGGGGTGACTTCATGACAGCCCTACAGAAATTAAGACCTGTTGGCAAACTATTTCTCCTGTGAATTTTTTATACACAGAAGAATGAACAATGAGAACTCCGCTGAGATTTGTTTTGGAAGGAGATAGGTAAGTGGTATCAGGACATGTGTAGACAACTTAAGAGTGATCGCTGAGGGATTGGTTGCTATCAATGGTGACCTTCACAAGACCCCAGGCAGCCTTGTGTATTAGCATGGCCTAGGCAACTGGAAGGCAGGTGCCCCCAAGATTCCATGACCGCCCCCCCACCTACCAGTTCTGTTATTGCAACTCCAGACGGTAATGTCGCATGCTGGGTCCTCCTCTGTCACTCCTGAGTGTGAGCTATAGACGGTGCCTTTGGCTCTGAGCGCTGGCATAATGAACCTTGTTTTTGCGGTTGCAAACCCTCAAGTTTCTCCCAACAGTAAGTTAAGAATTCCAGTTTCTGTCATCCCTCAGTCCTGATTAAACTTATGTGATTTCACATGTTTTTAATCCATCATATGTTTGGGTTTCTTCTCCCCAGTCCCTGGCTCTACCTTTTCTGCCACATGTCACCATGGCAGTATCTCTTGGCCCTTTATCTGATCCGAGGGTAGAACTTACACTCACGCAAATCAACCATGAGCTTCAGTTGTAGCTGGCAGAGAAGAAGCAGGACTTCCAAGACCTCCCAGAGAAATTCCTTGTATCCCAAGCTACTGCCTACTCCCTGGCCAACCAGCTGCAGAAATACAGTTAAGTCCTAGGGGTCATGGTGACCAACGTGATGAATGATCATGGTCTTCCCTCTGAGAAACAAAAACTCTCCAGACTTGGTCTCCTATTCCCTTTGTCATTTTGAATTTCATTCTGACCACAATCCAGGAAAGGTAGAAGTGGCTCTTTTACCCTCAGTTCCCTGAGGATGGGAAGACTCAGGCACAAAGAGTCTCAGGCACACTTTTCCAGGTTTGCGGTGAGTTGTAGGGTGAGATTAGAGTTAAAATCCCAGATATTGATTCTTGGTTCAGGCACTGAACTGCCTGTTTCTCTCAGGAACAAGCTAAACTGTGTCAATTGGAATCTTTTCTGTTCTGTATCTGATCCTGCATCACTGTTGGCTAAACGACTGGGACTGATGAACTCCATCAGTTCAGGTTTCCCTGAGGTCCCATTGGCAAAGCCCTGTGCTAGTTACACTGGGGTGACATGGTGGTTACACACTGGGGGAAGCAGGGGATAGTACCTGCTTAAAGGGAGCTTAAGGATGAGTCTGCTCCTCCCTGAAACCATGGGCTACCTGTTTGAGTTGTAATGAATAATGAGGAAATTCGGACAAAGCTCTGACAATAGTCCCTGGCACAGTATAACACAGTAAGTTCAAGTTCTACTATGTCTAATAACACAAACTTTCATAGTATTTGGGCACATTTTTTCCCAGGTCCTTATGGTTTCATGTATTCTCTTTCACACAAGTGTATCCAGGTGAGATTTTTACCTTTGAGATACTTGTTCATTACTGAAATCCCAGCACAAGGGAACCATCAGTCCTATAGTCCTAGGGGTCTTCCCAACCACACAGGAATCACCAGGAATGCCCCTGCTCAGCGTTTCACCTAAGAGGCTGCAAGTATTGGTAAGTGGCCCAGGACTCAGTGTCAGTTTGCCAAACACCAGTTCATCTTGTCTAGTTACTTTCTGTGCCCAGGAGCTTCTGTTTCCTCAGCTCTAAAACAGGGAGTAACCAAATGCCATGCAGGTGGGAGGCTGAGGAATCAGATGTGGAAATCCCTGTGTAGAGCCTGGTACCGAGGTTACATCTGTCCTTGGGATGGACCCTGCCTCTTCCCTTGAAGGCAGTGACCACAGCAGCCTGTCCAGCTTTCCCCTGAGGCAGCGTCTCTCTTTCCTCAGAGTATGAAGCATTTAAGGACATCATTGAATCTGTGCTGGGGGAGAAGCTGCTGTTTGAGGCGCTGAGGCTAGCAGAGAAGCTGGCAGAGAAGCCCACGCAAGCTGAGAGGTGAGGTAAGGAGGGCAGAGATGTTCATGGCAGGCACATGGCACAATATTTATAAACCAGCAGAACACCAATTGGTGAATTACGGACTCCAATTGTTATTCAGAGCCTCATTTACTCTGCTTTTAAAAACACTATTGACTTAAAATCACATATCATGAAATTCACCAAATTCAAGTCAACAACTCAGTGGTATTTGGTACCCTCACAATGTTATGCAATCAATACCTCATTTACCTTTAAATCACAACCCCCTCCTGACTGACTACACCTTGTCATCCATTCTTGACCCTGTCATTCTCATGTTTTTTTCCAATTCACACCAGCTGTATCTGTCCGCACTCCTTGGGGATGTTCTCACAGAAATCCCTAATAGTGTGTCATCTTTGCATTTTAAAATTGTATCTTCTGTCCCACCTTAGGACATGTGATATCCTAACTCGAAGTCAGGCACGAGAGCTGACCCAGTTACAGCGGACATTACGGGAAGTGAAAGATGACTCTGTCCTACTCCAGCAGCACCTCAAGGACCTCCTCACCCACAACGACCTTGACAACCACCAGGGGCAGGGCTTCTAAGAGCGGCTGACTGAGGGACACAGGCTGGCAGAGCACCTTGCCCACAAGCTCAGCCCAGCTAAGGGGGCCACAGTACCTGATAACATTGAGCTGCTCCAAGGTCCCCTGCTCACAAGAGGCTCCACACCTGCACTAGGAATGTTTTTTATCAGCTTTCCTGTTTCATGTCCCGTTTAGGACTATGATAGGAGCAGGACTGGCTGAGTGGGAGAACAGAGGAGAAATGCACAGGGTGGAGGGCATAGTATTCCAACTGTCTGATTCCTCCCTGATGGACCATGGCCTTTGGCGCAGGAGGCAGCATCCGCCCAGTGTTAAACCACAGAAAGGACGATGTGACAGGAGGCCGCTTGTTAGAGTGAAAAGAGCTCTGGACTAAGCATGAAAGTTCCCAGGGTCCAGCCTGAGGGCGGCTGTCTTTAGTAACAGTAAGTGAGTGATTGATTTTTCCCTATCCCAGTATCTGTTTCCTCTTCTGTAAAATGGATCAACTAATCTGTTGATGGTAGCTGTAGTGATGAAATGGGGAAATATTTACGAATGCACTGCAGAAAAAAGAAAGCCCTTCACTGTGTGGTGCCAGATAAGGTACTTGATGTGGTCAGACTTGGTGTTGGGAAAGTTGTTTAGACTGGACCACTTTCCATAGAGAGACTTTCCCTTGATAACCAGCAGAAGCCACCTGGAAGAGCCCAGGATGTTCCCAGGTGGAGGGATGTGGGACATGGTTTTTCTCCTTAGAGAAAGGAGGGGATCTTGTGAGAGCTGTGAAGATTTACAGAGCCTGTGTCTTTGGCAGAATTTGTGGCAGGATGGATGATCCAGCTGTAGAAGCCAAGATGGAAGGTGGACAAGTATGCAGTGATATAAGGGAGAAAGGACACTTTAAATGTTTGTCCAATTCCAGGCAGAAGGTGTCACGATGATGATCCTCTGGTTTAGAGTCAGACTGCCTGATGGATCGGAAATCCATGCTAGGGCAATTGTTTAAAGACAATGCATTAGAACTTCCATACAGTACTAATTCATACCTAGGTATTTATGAGTCTATGACCATGTGAGTTGCTGTGTTGGTAGTGAGTGAAGTGGCAAGGAGCTGACTTCTTGGATATTTCTGAATTTGCAGAAATTCGTGAAGATGAGGAAGATGAACAAGCACAAGAGATACTCACATCTAGGTAACAGTGAACTAGCAGGAGCTGGTAATGGGTAGGTAAATTATGGACAGGGTCACAGAAAGCACAGTGAGGTCAAGAGAGTCACAGATGCCAGACGCAAGGAGAAGCAGAACTGCAGATTGTATTGATTTACTTCACTCAACCCACATGGAAATGGCCATGTTAACTTGGTCGTATGTTGTCTCCGTGCTACTTGTATGTACGACCCAAGGTGAATGCACCACCCTTAGGATTTCCTGCACACACAGAGAATATCTATTCTCTCCTAAAGGAACTCCAAGGTGAGATAAATATCTACTCCTACACAGTTGTTTTAGGTCCTTGGGAGGAAGGTACCTAGCAAAGGAATTAGTAGAGAAGTAACCAGAAAAATTAAGCATCAGGACAACTATCTAGAAAAAAAATTGGTTGTCATGTGACAGTAGTAAGAGAAAGAGGCCTCGGAGGCCTTTCTATTCCTAAAAAGAAGGCATAATATCTCTGGGAGTCTATAATGCCTTAATAGCCGTATTCACTTGACTACTTTATCTTAAATTGAACATGACTTAGGACCACGGGGGTAGCATCTGGTATGGAAGTTCTTTTGTGTTTCATGTTCCTGAAGGTACCATACTGGGATGGTTGAGTCTCACTCCTCATCAGACGTTGTGTGGCCAGTGCACGGAGCACCTGCTGGTCTCCCTCTCCTGCCCCATGGCAGCCACACTCCACCTCACGTACGGGAGGATAGTTCCTTCCCTCTTTAAGGGGACTGCCCTTTTGGTTTCTCTGACACTCCCGATGCCTCCCATCAAAACCAGGCAGGGCAGCTTGGGGTCGGATCCTCTTTGTTTAATTTCCTGTCATCCCTCTCCCACCTGGCACAGCGTGGAGCTGCAGGAGGTTGAAAAGAAGGAAGTGCCTCAGGAATCCCAGGATGAATGTGTTTTGACTCCTTCAATTCTCCAAGGAAGTTCTGACTGCAACCAGCCTTACAGTGATGGCAAATTTGCATTTGATGAATCAGAAGTGGACCCTGCTCCGGATGGAGCCTGTGGTTGCTCCCATGCTGAAGAGGATGAAATTCCAACTGATCTCCCAAGTAGCCTCCATATTTGTTCCCCACACCTGTGTAGACTGAGGAAGGTCATCTCTGAAGATAGTCCCTATAGATACATCTTGCTTAAATCAGGGAAAAGGATCTATTATGAAACACAGACATCAGGTGGCTCAGGGAGCCTTTATCCCTTTCTAGGCCCCAGTCATGCCTTTGTCACCCTGACACCAGTGTCAGGCATTTGGACTCAAATCAGGTGTGACAAACTCTCATCCACCTTGGGTGGAAATCTACAGGAGGTGTTTGTCAGACCTAGTTTGGATCAAATGTGTCTTGTCACCTGCAATGACCTAATTTTTGTTGTTTTGTACAATGTCCCTGGCCTTCCTATCCCTATCCAGACAAAACGGCAGACTTGCATATACATCAGGAGAGGTTGTTTCCCTGGTTTCACTGCTCTCAGTCCCAGTCTCCATCTTCTCTATGTTGGCTTCTAACTGTTAGCTAAGCAGTCATCTGAAAACCAGGACAGACACAGCTGTACCATTGCCTTGTTTGGATGTTTCCATGAAGCAAGGCTGGGCTCTGGCAGTCCCTCAGCTTTGAATGGGGATGGTTTCTGTGTCGCACCAAAGATTCTTTTTTGGTTTGAGGGTTTATACAATTCATCCATCACTCTAGTCTCAAGTATAAATTCCTCTAAACCATCAGCAACCACATAATCTGATGGGACTAACCAATATTGTAGAAACAATTCTAGAAAATAACTCAGCTCATTTTCTAGGATCACTGGGGAAAATATATCATTAACTATTTATACAGGCTCAGAACAAAGGATGTTGGGAGAGCACGCTACCAGATCAATAAGAGAATTTCCCTGATGGGTCTGGGGTCCAGTCTAATTCTAAGACTTAAGTGTCCTGGAATGTCTCTGCTAATGTATTATGTTCTTGCACTGAGAATATTCATGTCCTTGTGGTGTGTTCACTGAGTAGGTATGTGTGAGACGTGATTTGCTTATTGTGACCCACTGTCTCTGAATTTCTTGCTAGACAATCAAAATGATCATAAGCAAGTGGATGGACAAGAGCCAGTATCCCCCAGGTAATTCTGAAGATTTGTGGGCTGTGAATGTCAGTGGTGACAATAGGAGACCTCAAATCCAGGGAAAAACAGAATTACTAAATGTAACTCTTTCATCCATTCAGTCAACAGTCAAATATCCCTTTTCACAACGTTGTCTATTTTTATTGCGGTAGTTGTGTGGGTTTCAATTTATTAATCCTTCAAGTATAGTAACGTACAGTGAGTTGACCCTGGTGAAATAGCCAAACTTGGCAGTTCCTGTAATCAAGTGTTCTCTCCTGTGTGGTTAACAGCAGGTGAGATTCATATCGCCTTGTGCCTGTTTGGCATCAGCATGTTGGTAAATATTTGTTAGCAAGTGAAGAAACTAGAAGAAATTCATATTATAACAAAATATTGAGAAAATAGTTCCTGAAGGCAGAATATCTAGAGTCTATAATTCCTCAAAAGCTGTATTCACTTGGGCACTGCATATACAGATCAACACAATATAGCAAACAAGTTGGAACCACTATCTTAGTCTGTGTGTGCTGGGGCTCATGACTACAGCATGCAGGGAGAGTTCAGTCTCCTCCTTCAACAGCTGGTTGTGTGGCCAGAGCATCTGCTGCTCTCTCCCTCTCCCAACCCATGGAAGCCACACTCCACTTCACATACAGGAGGATAATTATTTCCTTCTTTAAGAGGACTTCCCCTTTGCTTTCTGTGTCCACTCCCTATGCCTCCCATCAACACCAGCTAGGACAGCATGCTGTCTGCTCCTCTTAGTTTAATCTTCTGTCTTCCCTTTGCCACCTGACACAGCGTGAACCTACAGGATGTTGGAAAGAAGGAAGTGCTCCAGGAATCCCAAGATGAATGTGTTTTGGCTCCTTCAACTCCCCAGGAAGGTTCTAACTGCTACCAGCCTTACAGTGATGAAAAATTTGCATTTGATGAGGAGAAAGTGGGGTCTGCTCTGGATGGAGCCTGTGGTTGCTCCCATGCTAAAGAGGATGAAATTTCAACTGGTCTCCCAGGTAATCTCCATTATCTTTGTTAGTATACTCAGAGAATTAATCTGCTTAGATAGACTGTATGCTTACATATTGAAGCCTGGTTTGAACCAGACTATACAATTGCATTTAAAATAAGACATTCTACAAGTTAGTGAACTTTTCTCAGTTCCTAGTCTTGTTTGTCCCTGTGGCAAATCACTGGAACGAAGGCAGTCCTGCCAGACTCACATGTACATTGTGGAACAGGAAGTAACTTTGAGGCCTCCTAATTTTGAATGAATGTCTTATATCACATGAAATTCTCTAATTTTCATTCCTGAGCAATGTCCCTGAGTTCCCTTACGTGTCTGAGTCTGATGGCAGTCTTGTTTCTGTCTTTGGAGATGTCACTACATTGATTCACTTCTGTTAACCCACAGTCTACCTCCTTTCATTTGTGTTATCTTGTCCAGAGTCTTCTGAAACCAAAATATAAGCCCCACTGTCACACTTGGTACATTTCTCTGAAGCAAGGCAGGGCCCTGGAACTTCCCAAGCTGATGAATGGCCATTGTTTCTTTGTAGCTTTGAAGATTCTTTTTTTTTTTTTGCTTTTATAAATTTATTTATTTATTTATTGGCTGTGTTGTACCTTTGTTGCTGCGTGCGGGTTTTCTCTAGTCACGGTGAGCAGGGGCTACTCTTCGTTGTGGTGCGCAGGCTTCTCACTGCGGTGGCTTCTCTTGTTGCAGAGCATGGGCTCTAGGTGCACGGGCTTCAGTAGTTCTGGCATGAGGGCTCAGTAGTTGTGGCTTGCGGGCTCTAGAGTGCAGGCTCAGTAGTTGTGGCGCACGGGCTTAGCTGCTCCGTGGCATGTGGGATCTTCCCGGACCAGGGCTCGAACCCGTGTCCCCTGCATTGGCAGGCAGATTCTTAACCACTGTGCCACCAGGGAAGTCCCTGAAGATTCTTTTGACTTGATGGTGTGTAGATTCCACTGCCATCTAATCTCAATGTATAATTCATCTAACCCATTAACAAACAGCATTTCAGATAGAAAAGCCTGACTATTACAGCAACGCTCTAGGATGGCAGCTGGGTATTTCCCCAGGATCTGTGGGGAAAAGGATTTGTTTAGCCATTTGCACAGACTCGGGACATAGGATACTCTGAGGATGACCTGTCATATCAAGGAAATTTGTCCAGTGGCTCAAGAAGGAAACCCACTGCCTTCTTATGAGGCTCTCTTTGGGGCCTCCTGGGCTATTTCTCTCACAATAGCCTGTTATCACACTGTGAAGACTGGCACAGGATTGGGCATTTGTGAAGGGGTTTTGCCTGATGTAACTGTCCTGTTAATTTATTTGTAGAAAACCAAACTGATCACAATGACCTTCAAGGACCAGTAGCTATTGCCACAAGGTAATTTTGAATATTTGTGGGCCGTTAATACAGTGATGACATCTGCAGGTCTCTGGTCCAGGGAAAAGCAGAAAGTGCTGAATATATTGTATCATCAATTTTCCCAACCACGAATTATCATTTTTTGTAATGTTTTCTGCTTTCATTGTGGTACTTATATTGTTTCCCATTTCTTATTAACTTTTCAAGTTTATAACCCAAGCCAGTTGACCCAGGTAAACTAAGTCAGAGTAATTTTTTGGCACTCACTCGTTATCTCCAGTGCGGTTTATGGAGTGAGATGCATATCTGTTTTCTGCCTGTTTGGCGTTAGCATGTTGGCATGTATGTCATAGCAAGAAATGTAAATAGACCATAATATTATTATACCATGCCACAGTATTTAGAGAGGCCTCGATGGCATGAGATTTCTGGGATACCAGAATGTCCCAAAAGCTGTATGCACTTGCCCGTTCCATGTGACACTCAATGCAACGTAAATGAAAGGGTGAAAGCCACTGGTACGTGACTCTATATGTTGTGAGTCATGACTGTACCATCCAGAGATAATTCAGTCTCTTTCTTCATCAGCTTGTTATTTGGCCAGAGCACTGAGCACCTAGTGTCCTTTCTATCTCCTGCCCCTGTGAAAAAACACACTCTGTCCCACACACAAAAGGGAGTTTTTCCCTCTTTAAAGGATCAGGCCCTTGGCTTGCTTCACCACTCCCTTAAACACGCCATCAGAACCAGGTAGGACTCTACGATTGCTGATCCCTCTTGGGTTAATCTTCAGTCCTGCCTCCCCACCAGGCTCAGCAGGGAGCTGCCACAGATGGTAGAGAATGGTGTCCCACGGGACTCACTGGATGAATACTGTTTGATTTACTCAATTCTTCCTGGTCTGTCAGACTCCTCCTGGCCTTATACAAGTGCTGCCTTCTTCTCATTTGAGGAAGTGGATGTCTCTTATGCTTGGGATGTAACCACTGAGTATTCTTTATCAATGTGATAAAACTCCAGCTGGACTCCCAGGTAGACTCTGTATTCTTTGTATCCCACGCCTCAGGCAGTGCTGAGATGTATCATCCCTGTGTACAAGCTCTGTAGACATAGTGATTTGAATCAGGCTCTATGACAGAGTTTTAAGCACAGACATCAGGTGGGTCAGGGAGCTGTGCTCTGTTCTTCATCCAGGCCAAGCCTATGGGTCAGGCGCCAAGTTAGATAATGGATCCAAGGCAGGTGTGACAAACTCACTTACTTGCAGGTGTGCAAGTGCACAGGGATGACTGTCTTTTTTCCTGATTCCCATGAAATGTCTCTTCTTACATACAAGCCTCCCATTTTCATACCCAAAAAATGTCCCTTGAATTTCTGTGCCTTTCCAGAGACGTTGACAGCCTTAATTCCATCTTTGGATTTGTTGTTTCACTGGTGTCACTTCTGTCATCCCCAGTGTCTGTCTCCTCTAAGTTGGCTGTCTTAGTGAAGCAATCATCTGAACACCAGGACACAAAGACCTCTACCATCACCTTGTTTGTATGTTTCCATGAACCAAGGCAGAGCCCTGGCATTTCCCTACCCCATGAATGGCCAAAGATTCAGTGACAAACATTCTTTTTTTTTTTTGCGGTATGCGGGCATCTCACTGTTGTGGCCTCTCCCGTTGTGGAGCACAGGCTCCGGACGCGCAGGCTCAGCGGCCACAGGCTCCGGATGCGCCGGCTCAGCGGCCATGGCTCACGGGCCCAGCCGCTCCGTGGCATGTAGGATCTTCCTGGACCGGGGCACGAACCCGTGTCCCCTGCATCGGCAGGCGGACTCTCAACCACTGCACCACCCTGGGAAGCCCAAACATTCATTTTGATTCAAGGTTTTGTAGATTCCATCCATCATTCTGCTAAACCAGCCAGTGTATGATGATAAAAGCCTGAATATTACACTATTCTGTTGGAATGCAGGTGAGCTATTCCCCAGAATCTGTGGGGAAAAGATGTGTTTAACTTTTTACTCAGACTTGGAAGAGGGTACTGTGGTGAGGATCTACCAGGTCAGGGAGATCTTGGCTGATGGCTCAGGAAAGCAGACCAAGGCAGGTACATAAGACACAACCTGAGGCCTCCTGGAATATTCTTCTTAAAATATCCTATCGTTCCACTGGTGATGTTTTTGTCCCCATGGTAGTATTGGATACTGGATTATTATCATACACAGGATGATCTGCTTAGTGTTTCTGGCCCGGTCTGAATTTTTTTTTTTTTACATCTTTATTGGAGTATAATTGCTTTACAATGGTGTGTTAGTTTCTGCTTTATAACAAAGTGAATCAGTTATACATCTACATATGTTCCCATATCTCTTCCCTCTTGTGTCTCCCTCCCTCCCACCCTCCCTATCCCACCCCTCCAGGCGGTCACAAAGCCCTGAGCTGATCTCCCTGTGCTATGCGGCTGCTTCCCACTAGCTATCTATTTTACGTTTGGTAGTGTATATATGTACATGTCACTCTCTCACTTTGTCACAGCTTACTCTTCCCCCTCCCCATATCCTCAAGTCCGTTCTCTAGTAGGTCTGTGTCTTTATTCCTGTCTTACCCACAGGTTCTTCATGACATTTTTTTTTCTTATATGCCATATATATGTGTTAGCATACAGTATTTGTCTTTCTCTTTCTGACTTACTTCACTCTGTATGACAGACTCTAGGTCCATCCACCTCACTACAAATAACTCAATTTCGTTTCTTTTTATGGCTGAGTAATATTCCATTGTATACATGTGCCACATCTTCTTTATCCATTCATCCGATGATGGACACTTAGGTTGTTTCCATCTCCTGGCTATTGTAAATAGAGCTGCAATGAACATTTTGGTACATGACTCTTTCTGAATTATGGTTTTCTCAGGGTATATGCCCAGTAGTGGGATTGCTGGGTCATATGGTAATTCTATTTTTAGTTGTTTAAGGAACCTCCATACTGTTCTCCACAGTGGCTGTACCAATTCACATTCCCACCAGCAGTGCAAAAGTGTTCCCTTTTCTCCACACCCTCTCCAGCATTTATTGTTTCTAGATTTTTTCATGATGGCCATTCTAACGGGTATGAGATGATATCTCATTGTAGTTTTGATTTGCATTTCTCTAATGATTAATGATGTTAAACATTCTTTCATGTGTTTTTTGGCAATCTGTATATCTTCTTTGGAGAAATGTCTATTTAGGTCTTCTGCCCATTTTTGGATTGGGTTGTTTTTTTATTATTGAGCTGCATGAGCTGCTTATAAATTTTGGAGATTAATCTTTTGTCAGTTGCTTCATTTGCAAATATTTTCTCCCATTCTGAGGGTTGTCTTTTGGTCTTGTTTATGGTTTCCTTTGCTGTGCAAAAGCTTTGTAGTTTCATTAGGTCCCATTTGTTTATTTGTGTTTTTCTTTCCATTTCTCTAGGAGGTGGGTCAAAAAGGATCTTGCTGTGATTTATGTCATAGAGTGTTCTGCCTATGTTTTCCTCTAAGAGTTTGATAGTTTCTGGCCTTACATTTAGGTCTTTAATACATGTTGAGCTTATTTTTGTGTATGGTGTTAGGGAGTGGTCTAATCTTATACTTTTACATGTACCTGTCCAGTTTTCCCAGCACGACTTATTGAAGAGGCTGTCCTTTCTCCACTGTACAGTCCTGCCTCCTTTATCAAAGATAAGGTGACCATATGTGCGTGGGTTTATCTCTGGGCTTTCTATCCTGTTCCATTGATCTATCTTTCTGTTTTTGTGCCAGTACCATACTGTCTTGATTACTGTAGCTTTGTAGTATAGTCTGAAGTCAGGGAGCCTGATTCCTCCAGCTCCGTTTTTCGTTCTCAAGATTGCTTTGGCTATTCGGGGTCTTTTGTGTTTCCATACAAATTGTGAAATTTTTTGTTCCCTGTCTGAATTTATCTGTAGGAAATCATACTGTTCTTGAGGAAGAGGAAGACCAAGACCTTATCTGTTCTAGGTAACTATGAAGAAACATGGGTCTTAATTCAGTGGTGACATCTAGTCATCTCAGATGCAGGGAAATCTGAAAGTGCTGAATATGCCTATTTCTTCCATTCTGACAACCACAAAGTGTCCCTTTTAATAATGTTGTCTGTTTTCACTGTGGTACTTGTATAGGCCCCTTTATGAATCCCTCTCAATTATAGTAACCTACAGTCAGTTGATGCAGGGGTACTAATCAGCCACCCGATTTCTTGCAGTCTCCTGTTCTCTCCTTTCTATTAAAACCAGCGTGAGATGCATATCTGCCTCTGTCTGTTTGGCCTTACCACACTGGCAGGTATTTGATGGCAAGGAAAGGAACGAGAAAAAAATTCGTGTCACATCTCAGTATTAGAGAAATTGGCCTTGAAAACACAAGACTTCTAGGAGCCCATTATGCTGCCAGAGCCTATTCACTTGGCTGCTACATGTAAATTTCACCAAAAACTTATGCTATAGTTGAAGCTGCCTTTATGGTTTCTGAAGGCGTGTGTGATGTGACTGCTGTGTCCTGGGGTAGTTCAGTCTCCTTCCTCCTGGGCTCGTTTCTGATCAGTGCTCAGAGCACGTCATGCTCACTTTCTCCCCCTCCCTCTCTCTCCCTTTCCCTTTGCAAGCACCCACCGGCCCCAGATAGGAGAGGATTGTTATACCTCCCTTTATGGGGACTTCCCATTTCTTTTCTGTGACTGTTAGGCAGCTAGCTACAGATGAGCAGCAGGGGAAGGTGGAGCTGGAGACTCAGGATATGTGAGCCAAACAAAGAGGGGCTGAGGGACAGGCTGCGGTCAGCACGTCCTGAAGCAGCAGGAAGCACCTGGCCGAAGGGGAATTCCCCGAGGCACGCAGGCACAGTTTGAGCCAAGCAATAACCGGAGATAATCCCAACTTCATTATGTCATCATTATAATAGAATTTACATGTGGTTTCAATCCCCCCCCTCCCCGCCATGGGCTTTTCTTAGCGAATTTGGGTAAAAACATGGAATTATGGGTAAAAGCATGCGCAATATAACCCGTCACTAACGTGACGAGACCTTGTCACTGGATCTTAACCCAACTCCTACCCTTAGGTTCAAAGCGCTTATAACCACCCCGCGCCCCTATAGCTGGGCTGGTTTCACTTCGCAGAAGCCAGTCTGCGCTCTCTCCGAGAGTGTGTCTATGCTTTAAGTAAACTTTGCTTTGAACTTACACCCGAAGTGTTCGCCTGCAGTTCTTGGCTTAATATTACAAGGACCGAGATGGCTGGTCCAGATTCATCTAGTGACCTCCTCGGTTGAAACCCTCCAACACAACGCACACCAAACCCATAACATGACCGGTCCCTTAACCCTCCCATCAAAACCCGCCAGGACTCCGTGTTCACGAATATTTGCTGTTTAATCATCAGTCCTCTCGACCCCACAAAGCTCAGTCTGGAGCTGCTGGCGTTAGAAGAGAATGAAGTCCAGCAGGACTCACTGGATGAATGTGATTTGGCTGGTTCTATCGGCCATCGTCCGTCAGCCTCCTGTACGCCTTACACAAGTGCCTCATTCCAATCGGATAAAAGGGAGGTCTCCACAGTTCTAGACGTAAATGGTGAGTACTCCCGTTATAAAGAACATTAAGATCCTAGTAGGTCACGAGGTAGCATCTGTATTCTTTGTATCCAACAACCAGTACAGGCTATGAGCGGCATCCCTGTAAACAGGTCCTCAGACTCATGTTGATTTGAATTACGTTCTTGGATTTAATTTTTAAAAGGCATCCATCATCTGCCTTTTCATTCTTCTTGTCCCAGGCTGACCTCTGTCACCTGGACCCCCCTCACCAGTGCAGGCATTCGGTATCAAGTCAGGCTAGAGAGGGGAAGTGGAGGGGTAAGGGCAGGATCTCGGCTGCCACCGTCTCACCTGCAGGAATTTGTGTAACAGACCTCTTTTTTTCAAGATAAGGATCCTCATACTCATGAAATTATGTTGATAATTTTATTTCTTGAAGTTTCTTACAAAGTCTCTGGCGTTCCACACGTTTTCAGTCTGCTCCATATTTGCAGTGTCTGTTATATTGTTCACCAGCTCCAGGCTTTTTCCCTGGGCTGCCTACCTCCCTCTGAAGCATTTGCATACCAGATCCTGAATATAAAATCCTGTCCATGCCCTGTGATTTCCAGGAAGCCAAAGATCTGTCTCAGGTGTCCCATCCTTCAGAAATAGCCATGGTTCTCTTCCTTTGTGTAGCAACAATGAGCCTTCCACGTGTGGGTTATGGTTTCAATCGTGTGTGTAGTCTCAGTGGTATAATCTCATGGAAACTATCCACAACCTGTGCACCTGATGGGGTTATTGGCCTAATTTATGAGCAAGTTCCCCTTGGGCAGCAGTTCATAGGGCGTGTAGATTAAAACCTGGTTTGCGTTACTTCTCGGGTTATGTTTTTGACTTTTCTTCTATGAGAAGCATTTGCATTGTTAGAAGCTTTACTCATAAAATCATCTTGAAAAAGTAGAAGAAACCCCATTGTGTATTGGACTATATCTGTTTTCTTTTATAATTAAATTGGCCATGAAAAATGGTTCTTGTTCAGTGTGTGCCTTTTCACAGTGGGACCATCCTCTTTCCTGTTTCCCGTTCCTCCTGAGGTACAGAGAAGCAAAGGCTTTCTCAGGATTATAGTAGTTCACAAACCAGAAATGGAACACGTGGTTATTGTGCACCTGTTGTATACCATGCACCTAACTAAGCAAACTCCATGTGAGCCATAACCCATTCAGTCCTCGGGGGACACTCTCAGGTAGGTGTGTTATCTCATGGTAGAGCCGAGGGCACTGAGGCTCAGCAAGGTCCCTTCACTTGCCCAAGGCTCCCGGCCACTGGGCTGTGGGACACTGGCCTCTCCTTGGCCTGACTCCCTGGCTCAGGCTCTGTCCGCTTCTCTCAGCAGTCGGACCCGTCAGCGACTAAGAGAGGATGTTGCTCACGTTTTCCTTTTTGCCCTGAACCAAATGATTTGAAACTATCTGAATCTTAAACACAAAGTTGCCAGACTGGCGCAGAGAACTCCTGTGGTCCCTCGCTCAGATCTGCCAGCTCCTAGTCCATCAGTGCACTTTGTCCCGTGAGCAGAGCCGGCTACTCATCCAGCCCCTCCAGGCGAAGCCACAGCTCCACGAGGCTCTCCGTGGACAATCAGCAAGGGGTGAGAGGTCCATGTCTCTCAGCGCCTCCTGCCCCCAGAATTATCTGCTCTCACTCAGGGTCCAGGGAGGCCTTGAGTTTGGCTGTGCTGGTGCCCTTAAAAAGCTGCAGAGCTCTATCTCAGATACTCCAACAGCCGGGTCTGAGTTTCCATGAGGAGGAGAAGAAATTCTCAGACACACATCTCAGAAGTGAGATGTGTGTGATATGGCACAGCCCTGCCAGGCCATCACTCACAACGGGCCAGGAAAGGCCAAATTCCCCACAGATGGGCTGAGAGGAATGAATGGAACATGTAACTAGTACACAGATCCACCTGTGTCTGGGTTCTGATGATAACCTGAGGACAGTGTGGCTAGCTGGGATGCAGCAGCATGGGCACAGGTTGTTGGGTCTGCCCCATCCTCTCTGTACAAGGAGAAGCCCTGTAGAAACCGTACAAACACTAGATTTTTAAATTACAACTTGACCTTCTATTGGAGGCTTCCCCACACAGTAATTATATTGGTCAGTACTGTTGATGTTTGATGAAATGTTTTGTCCTTTTCCCATGCAAATGCAAAGAATATTCCAAGCATAGGTAGACAAATAAAATTACATGATGAAATTACGCAGTGAGAATTAAAAACAATCCTAGACATTGATTCAAAATCACATTGGAGAGTGGGGATACCAGGTTTTGACAGTTCTTTCACCGACCAGATTTATTAATTTAAGAGGTTTTACCCTTCAGCCCAATGTGAATTATCATAAAATCTGATTAAGTGTCCTAAAATTGATGATTAATGATTAATGAACTCTGCCTGGAAGAAATAGGAAGGGCACGCTGGGCTGAGAGAAGTGCTTGTGGAAAAAGCCCTGGAAGCTCAGAGAGGCTCCTGGTGCAGGGCTGGGGTCAGGGAGGGGCCAGCCGCGTCCAGGAGGATTTGTAGAAGGGAGTTGTGGGAAGTGATGTTGCAGAATAAAGAGGGGCAGAAGGCAGGAGGACTACAAAGGCAGGTGAGGAGTTTAGAGTCTGTGTAGTAGAGGAGGGAGGATGAATTTCCACAAGCCGAGAAGCATGTGATGAAACAGGATTTGGGGGTAATAAGACAGGTGACCTTTGGTAGTGTGGAGAGGACAGAATCAGAGAAAGCAGTTAGAAGGAGATTGGATGAATCACTGATAAGAGTCAGACATGGATGCTCTCTGGAAGACTAAGTGGTAACAGATATATGAGAGACACTTTAAGGAAACAGTTAAACAAACCTCGCTGAGGATGAGGATGTATGGGGGGAGGTAGGGGGGGCACAGCAATGTGCAGCAGGTCCTGTGGGCCATGACTCCACCTGAGCCTGACCTGAACTGGAGGAGGGTACTTCATACCTTTGGTTAGCCCACGTTCTGAGAATATGTGTTCATTTCACAGGAGAAATATCAAAATATTTGATTAGGAGCACTTTCCAGACCCCACTGGAGGGGTGTGTAACATAAGGAGTGTGCACTGTATCATCAATCTAAAGGAACACAAATTCTGATTCTGCAGCACTTCTGTACCTAAGCTTCCAATGAGGGATTCAGGCCTCTACTACACTACTTCTATCTGCTAATACCATCCGTCCCCACTCCGCCCCATATGGTAATAGAATATACACATGTATGGGTGAGTGGAAAGGTAGACAAAAGTTAAATGTAAGGAAGTTCGAAAGGTTCCAGAACTGTGAAACATTCTATTAACTTGGTCCATATACTGTAGATTCTCAATTCCTTTTTCTGTTGGTACCTGAAGGCTTTAGGCCATACTTCTTCCCCTTTTCTTTTATTCTTGTGGGTAGATATCAACAACTCTCTCCCCCATACCTTGAAGCCTGTTTAGAGCCTTCTCTCTAGGCTACAGGACTAAGGCTAATGGCTGAATAATAGGCGTGACCTCATATGCCATCCGAAGCCCTCTAGATTCAAGTGGGTGATTTTTCATTTCAAGGATGCTGCAGCCTAGCACCTGCCATCTCAGCATGCCCAGGCACAGCCATAAAAATGACATCTCCTTCATGTACGTGATGTCTGCCTTTATTGTCTGTGTTATTGGGTGGTTTCGCTCATAGGCAGGGACATCAGAAATGGGTGTTTTGGGAGGGATTAGCTCAGGAAAACTTGGATTGGTCCTACTCAACCCTCTTTTCCTTTCAGGTGACACCTGGGAGGACTGTCACCAAAGGCCTTTGAGTTTCCAAGGCCCAGGGGTACAAACTTCACAAGCACAGCTGCAGAAAAGCACCCACATGACCAATTATCTGCAACTGCAGCTGGACCAGCATTTCAATTGTGGGCACAGCAAAGCCACACTTGGTCTTTCCTCCACCATCTGGGGCTTTACTGCCAACCCCGATTCTGGAAGCCAAGGACCACTCTTCCTAGATAAAAAATAAAAGGGGATTAGGAAGCTCAAGTTGTCTCATGGTTGAGGTTGGAGGGGGCAATGGGGCCTTTCCCACTCCCTCTGTAGGTCTGGTTGAAATCTGTGATGCTCTACCAGAGTGAGGTGAGCAAGAGCCTGGGATTTGGGACCAGCTCTGCCTCAGGCCCTGGGTTTGCAAACTCCTGATTGTTTCACTGGGCCAAGTTATTTATCTCCTTAGGTATTCAGATCTCACATCCCTCATCTGAACTCTTGAAAAATTACATCCCCATTCCATGTTTGTTGGGAATATTAAGCAACATGATGTCCAGAAAGCCTGATCAGTAAAAATGGTTTGATAACAACTATGAATATATAACATCTAACCATTGTGTCTTTCTGGTGCTTTAACACTTACAAAATGATTGCACATGTGTTGTTTCCTCTGAGGTAGAGCACTTTTTTGATCCCCACTTTCTCTGGGACCCGTGTTCCCTTGCTTCCTCAGAAAGGTAGGTTGGCCAGTATTTTCCTCTCCTTTCAACATCCACCCTCAAGTCAATTTTCCCCTGCTAGGTGCTCTCAGTAACAGTGTATTAGTAACATTCTGTAGCAATGTAAACCCTGGCCACACAACTCAGCCTCCAGTTTAGTTTTCATATCCAGGTTATTTTCCTTTTTTCCCCTCTTTTTAAAATAAAGGGCCACCCTCACCCATGAGGTGTACTGATCTGTCTATTTTATGCCACTCCATTTAGTTCATAATCTTCACTCATCTCCATGGCCATGTCCTCAGTTTTCTTCTCCTTGGGATCCACCTCTGCTCAGATTTTCTTTTTTTCTTTCTTTGTTTGTTTGTTTTTGCGGTATGCGGGCCTCTCACTGCTGTGGCCTCTCCTGTTGCAGAGCACCCGCTCCAGACGCGCAGGCTCAGTGGCCATGGCTCACGGGCCCAGTCGCTCCGCGGCATGTGGGATCTTCCTGGACCGGGGCACGAACCCGTGTCCCCTGCATCGGCAGGCGGACTCTCAACCACTGCGCCACCAGGGAAGCCCAGAACTTTTTCTTTTTTTTTTTAAATCAGTTTTATTTTTCTTGAATTTTTCTTTTGGCATTTGGGAACATGTTTGCCCCGTGGCAATCTTACCAGTACTGGGTAGTGTTAGGAAGATCAACAAAAAGCAAATACAAAAATGTCTCCATTGGTTTCCACTCACCATAGACTTTCAGGCAAAGTTCCTGGACACTTTCCTTACCTGATGTCCCTCCTGGGTGGGGGAGTAAGTCATAGTAAGATCATGCAAAACAACGGCTCCTGTTGCCTGTGGTTTTATCTTCAGAGCTGGGTTTGGATGCTTCCATTGGAATGAAGAACCCTCCCAAGCTGGAGGGTGAGGTCTTAGCTGCCAGCAAGCATGAGTGTCTGGTCTGTAGCAAGATTAATGCCTTAAGTGTCCTGAAACAGAAGATTATCACAAGAAAACTGCTGTTCAGCAAGTGGAGACTAGCATGCCAATTCCCTGGCCTTCAAGCTTAGGGTACAGAGGTAATCGCATCTGAGGCTCTTATGTGTACTTCTTCCTTATACTCTTTACCTAAGATTATAGCTCAGTCTCCCACTATTTTTTCTCTTCCTCGTTTGTTCACTCAACAGCTGATGCTACCTTGTCTGGTCTTTCCTCTCTTTTCCATGGGGGCTGCCACCCTGCCAGGCCCTTCCATCTCCATCTCTTGTTTGCACTCTGAACTCTGTTGAGTTCCTATAGCTGCTGTCCTGATATTCCCTCTGACCTTCCCTTTTAGCCACAGGGAAGCCCAGATCCATGGTCCTCCTCATCAGAAGAGCATCATTTAGGCCGCTGAACACATAGTCCTTCGCCTGATCTCACACACTTTCTTGGTTTCTTTGCCTTATTCTCCCTTGCCCGCTCCCAAACTCCACTGCCTATTTCTACCAGGATCATGTGTTGATGAATCACTTGTATGTGGGTTGGCTTTTGGAGAACCTTATCTAGGAAAGCCCTTAACCCTCAACTTCTGCACATGAATAAGAAGAAATGAAACAGGAAAAAGAGCCCTGATTACAAAAACTAAGTAAGAACCTGGGTCACAGGTGGGAGTGCTGGACTGGCCTGGAGTCACCTCAGCCCCAGGTGGGCAGTTCTGTGCTACTGTGCATGGGGCTTCCAGGGACTCACTGGAGCTGGCAGTAGGTGGGGGCAGTAGATGGCGCCCTAAAGGGACATTAGCCAAAAGGAGATGCAGAGGCCAGGTTTTCAATATGCATAAAAGCATGAAGTGCATAGGCATTCAGACCTCTCCCCTGTTTTCAAATTACTCCTTCTACATGTTCAGTAAAAATCCTGAGAAATGAACTCAGTTGGAATCTGAGGCCAAGGAATGTAGGAGAGCATTGTAGTGAATAAACTTTGGGCCAGATTTATGAAGACCCAGGGAAATACACAAGAATCCAATATAATCATTGCTTCAGACAAATCTAATTGAGAAGGCAAGTTATTTATATGAGAGTGTCAGAGAAAGACCAAAAAATCCTTAGGGCCAATGGGAAAGAAATCTGTGCTGGAGTAGATGGAGAGAAGAAAACGAATGGTGTGAAATAGTGTAGGTCTACTGAGTAGTTCTAAATCATGCTATTATAAAATAAAAACTGGGTGAGTTTTTTTTTTTGTGGTACGCGGACCTCTGTGCTGTGGCCTCTCCCGTCGCGGAGCACAGGCTCCGGACGCGCCGGCTCAGCGGCCATGGCTCACGGGCCCAGCCGCTCCGCGGCATGTGGGATCTTCCCGGACCGGGGCACGCACCCGTGTCCCCTGCATCGGCAGGGGGACTCTCAACCACTGCGCCACCAGGGAAGCCCCCTCTTTTTTTTTTTTTTTTAATGAGGGAACCGGCGGTAGGAGCTGGAGGAGGGGCCCACCGGGCCCTTTAGACCCCCTAGTGGCACAGGATGGCTGCCCCACCCTGGGAGTGCCAGCAGCCTCCCTGCAGAGGCCCGATGGTATGCCCAGGCTGCCCCCAGAGCAGGGTCCATGACACACTGGCTTAAATCTACAATTACATATATTCAATGATGACCAGCTGTACAAAACTCAAAGTTTCCTCAGTCAACTCTTGATGAGTGGAGTTTATCCTTAAAGATTCCTGATGATGGAATGAGGACTCCCTAAGTTTGGCATATTTAATACTTGTTTTCTATTGCTTTGATACATGGACAGCTTGACTGAATACGAAGGACTTGTCTACAATGAATTTATTGATTTTTAAAATAATATGGTCTCGGTTTTTATGTTCTGTTGAGATGTAGAATATAAACTTGTTTTCTTTACTTTGATGGCAAAGGGTGGTCTGGAACTTCACAGGAAATTTTTTCTTTTTTTAAAAAAATCTTTTAGCTCTAATAGGAGTTGACCATTCCAGTTCTGTTTCTCCCAGGTCTCTATGACTTTCTCTCTGATCCTTTCTCATTATCTTTTATTCATTTCTATTCTGTTTGATACTTTCATTTTTTAGTTCAATGTCCCTTATAATTTTAGATAAATATCATCCCTTATGTACCTTGTCATTTAGCCTCTTTTTCAGAGAATTTTCTGTTCCTTCAGTTTTTTCTAATCTCTGCCAATTCTAATTTCTCATTTCTTCTTTCTTGTCTACTTCTATTTTGTGCTGTGTATTTCTTATGTGAAATTTTGGAGCTTTTTCCCACGTATTTGTGTGTGTGTGTGTGTGTGTGTGTGTGTGTGTGTGTCTACAAATGCTTTGTTCAGAAACAATTCAGATACGGATGCCAGTTTACATTTTTCCTATGTTTTGTGATTGATTTTTTTGTGTGTGTGTGATTGATTTTGAAGGGAACGTTTTTATGAGCTGAAAATTTTGACTCTCTATGTTCTTTTTTCTTCTGTCACCTTGGAATAAATGTCTGCTGTATGATTTTCATTTTACCATGGCTAGGTGTACCTGAATGAGAAACTGCCGTTCTACGTAGGAACAGATGAGTGCTTTGAGTGGCTTCGTCGATTTCTTAGGTCTAGATGTCTCTGTCTTGTGTAGTTACTCTAGCAGATGTAAGGTTCTGGGGAAAGCCATGGTGTGTCTCCTGATTCTGGGATTCTGTTTCTTCCAGTAGGATCTTTAATTTCTACCAGTTGCTTCATTCTTTTTCTTCACCACAAGCATCCAAAGGATGTTACCTTCAGCTTGGTCTCACACCTGATCCCAGTAATTGTGCCTCCCCAAGACTGTCATGCTCTGGTCCTCTGCACTGTCGAACCCCTTCCTGTCAATTCTCCAGACACCAGAGCTTTAGTCGACCAGGTCACAGGCATCCTCTGAGTTTATCCACATACTCTTTCTGTGAGTAATTTTACCAGGGTTCCCTCCTGAGTATGCCCTCCCTCTGACCTCTCCTCTATGTGCAGAGTCTTTGCTGCTTCCTCTACTGCTGTGTGGCTCCCAGACCTGGGTAAAAACAAACCAGTTGGAGTCCACAGTGCACTCTGGCCCCTGGTTGTTTGGGGCAGGGTTTTGAGTGGTGTCCTTGACTCTATGTTAGTCCCTAGCCCTCTGAAATGCATGTGGAGAGATTCAGCTGCCATTATCCTAGGTAGACCTGTGCTCTCCTATCATTCTTTTTCAAATGCAGATTTTCAATAGTACACAAAATAGACAGAATTATATAACAGAATATCCCCATCTTTGTCAGCCACGATCAACAAATACCAACTTATGGCTGAACTTGTTTTACTATAATCCACTCACTTACCTTTTCCTATATTCTTCAAAGCAAATCTCAGACATCACATTTCATCTGTAATTAGTTCAGCATGTTTCCCTAAATGAGGACTCTTTTTGAAAGTACTATCATCATAGCATTATAATTATTCATAAATTAATTCAAAATCTTTAATATCATAAAATCGTGTTCAAATTTCCCGTTATTGTTTTTGTTAGTATTCTTTCTTGGGATCCAAATAAAATCCACAAACTGTAATCAGTAGGATATGTGTTTAACTCTTTTACATATGTTTCCCCTCAGTTTCTTCCTCCCTCCCTCCCTTCCTTCCTCCCTCTGTTCCTTCCTTCTCCCTTCCTCTCTCTCTCTCTTGCTCTCTCACTCTTGCTCTAGCTCTCTCTTGGTCTTTTGCTGTCCTTTTTTCTTTTTTTTTTAATCATTCATTTGTTGAAGAAACTGAGTTGTTTGTTCTGTAGCATTCTGACAATCTAAGTTGTATAACTGGCTGTACTTTAATCACTTCTTCTGTCCTCCATTCTTTCTTTTTGGTGGTAGAATCTACAGCAGTGCTGTAATGTAATGAAAATGCAAGTCACATATGTAATTACAATTTTTCTAGTAGCCACAATGAAAAATAAAAAGTATAAGCACACAACAATACAAATATAATCTTCTACATAGCTAATTAATACGACACATTAAAGGAAATATAATTCTACCAAAGTTTTAAAGTTGTGTTTGATAGAAGAATATTGTGCATGTCTTCAGCTTTTAAGTTTACATTCACATGAATTATAAATTAAATATAATTAAAATCCACTCCCTCAGTCCTACTAGCTACATTCTAAGTGTTCAACAGCCATATGTGTCTAGTGGCCCCTATTTTGGACCTGGCAGATACAGAGACGGATGAGATTCACATTTGCTATCTTGGCAAGACTACCTCAGAAGTGGTGTGTGCTCTCTGATCAGGAGGCCCATCAAGTCCTGTGTGTCTCTTCTAATAATATTAGCAGCCCTCGGACTTCAAGGCCTAGATCCATTAACTGTTATGTGGAGTAAAAGGGTGATATTCCGTGGTCATGTATTGTTTAAGTGGAACACTTCTATGAAAAGAAACTTCCCCTAAATACTGTTTAGTTACTTAGTGGTACCCTCTGTAAAGAAAACTGCAGCTTAATGAGCAATTCCCCAAGCATCCTCTGTGGTCACCAGTTAGTTTATTTCTTTTTTTTTTCCCCTGTGCTAATATGAATTCAAAGTTTCAAACACATTGAAGTATTTCAATTCATGGCAATATAGTCTTTACTGATACTCCAATTATCCTCTCTTTCAGCAGTGAAAGTGACTTTAAGCTGGCTCCTTCATCCTTTTGATAAGATCCTAATAGTCTTTGAGACCTTTCCTGATATCAGTATGACAAGGTTCTTCTGTCTCATCCTGAATATTTTCTGCCTGAGTTGGACTCAGTCATTTCTCTAAGAATCTCTGGTTTCTTTTTATGCAAAACATTATTCTCAAGTCAAATTGTGTAACCTAAAGATACTCATTGGAATTGGTTTATTTCTAGGTCTTTCCAGTGGACAGAGCTAGGAAATACTCATATTTGTATTTATGTATTCACATATATCCACATTCACAATTCAAATTCAGAACTACAGGCTTTTTATTGAATGTCTATCGTACATCTGCATCTCTTTTCTCTAATACCAGTATTTTTGTTTTTAAGGACACTGAGCGTAATAGAAATACAATATCTTTTACAGTCTCCTTTGTTTTTTCCCGCATTATACAGACAAAAGAATAAAGAACTACCAACAATGCCAATAATAACACAACTGAGAAAAGCAGTTTTAAAAATTTTGTCACAGTCCTGGGGTATATATAAATTATTGTGTTTTATGGTCTTTTCGGAGAGTTCTTATCCATATGCTTGTTCCACAAAAGGCATACACAGGTTCATTTGTCACATTGTGTTTTCAATGTCTAGAAGTGACATTTAAAAGATTAATTTAATTTGATAATGATAAAAAATGAATGTGGTTTCCAACTCAAATCAAACCAAACAAGGCATATTCACTATAGTCTAGCCTTGACTTAAGATCTGCAAGTGTCCCAAAGGCCTGGGTGGAGGTGGGTCAGGGATCCCTGCTCTCCTCGGACACCGGAATCCTTGGTCTTCCTCCTTCTTCTGGCCGACCTTGGAATGAAACGACGAGATCTCCTGGAGTCAAGGTTCAAATCTTAGCCTAACAGCGGCTTTCCTTGTCCAATTTAGACTTCGGAGTGAGAAATTCTGAAAAAAATCGGTACAAAATGGAATAGAATCAATTAAAATTCGGAATAAGGTAGGGCACCTGAATACAATACAGTACTTCCCATCCAGGCCTGGAAACCTCGACCCGAAAGATAAGACGCTGTCACCCTGGCTGCTCAGCGACGTCACAGTCCCGCACCGCGACCCTTTACTCACAGGGACACGCGCGCAGTTAGTTACAAGACGTGCGGTGCGAAGCCCCCTCGCGGGGCAAGACGCAGTGGGCGCAGCCTCTGTTTTTTGCCCCCGCGACCCAGGGTGACCCAACGATGGGGTGCCACCGGCTCGGTCGCTGCGCGCCTGGCCCGGGGCCTCCGATGGCCAGCCACGGGCAGAGTCGCCGGGGCCCAGCGGAGATGCCGCGGGCTCGTCTCCGCACCTGTCCACCCCGTCCGTATGGAGCGCACGGACCGCCCCGCTCCGGGACGCGGGAGTGGGAAAGCATATCCCATCTGAGGAGTAAAAAAAAATCTCCTTCTTCTAGTTAAAGAGAAAGGTCCCACCGAGATTTGAACTCGGATCGCTGGATTCAGAGTCCAGAGTGCTCACCATTACACCATGGAACCCTCTACCGCCTACTCTGCTGCTCCCGCCGCTGAGCCAGGCCGCGCACAGCCCCTAGGACCCAGGAGCGGCCTCCCGCCGAGCACTCTCGTTACCCCGCCCCGAACCTGCGATGGCAGGAGGCGCCCGACTCGCGTGTCCGCGGCCGTCTCTTTTAGGTTTCTACCTGGTGAAAAGACACGAAATCCATTCCAAACGAACGATAAGGAAATGTGTTCAGGGCTTCTCCCCAGTCCACCTGCGCTGTGAACGATCCTAGTTTTTTCTTCCGCCCCCCCCGAGAACACAAAACTTTTTTTCCCCTCTTTTCCCAGTTGCTCTCTTCCGCTGCTCTGGAAGGTCGGAACATGCTCAGACAGACTTCGAGATGCCGTGAGATGTTCCTTTTTTTGAGATCGCGGGGCGCTGTCAGTTTCCTTCAAGCAGAAAGTGTTCTATTTCTGTTAATATCGGATCGGAACCGGAAAACGTTTGATTACATGGTAGCCAGCACCACCGCTCTAATCGTGCGTGAGAAACACACTGAAAACAAATCCCACGAAAAAAATGGTTTATCACAGGGCCGAGTAGAAAAACGCTTTTACACCGCCAGAGTCCACGATAGCAAGAAAGCGGGGGATGGGGGAAAAAGGAGAGGAGCATACTGGGGACCTGAAAATTACACGGAAACAATAAACCACACAAGCCGCTACTGCAACGCAGAAACTAAAGACAAGGCAAGACGATCATAACTTAATACAACTCACTTTTAAATTTACGTAATGAATACTTTGTTTTGAGCTTATTCATTTTTTTGTTTGTTTCTTTTTTCGGTGTGTGGGTGTCTGCAGCACGGGAGAATCTTCTCTGTTACTGGAGTGTACAACCTTCAAACACGGAAATGTAATAGCTATAGCTAACAGGCCTACATTGTTCCGCCGCAGCTGGGTAACGTTAGCATAACTCCAATCTCTGTTTTCCGTACATAGTAGACACGTTAAAACACTGGGCTGAGAAAAATACTGCAGTTAAAATGATTATTATGCTTTTTGTTTAGCGTAACTAGTTAGTTCTTTTATTATAACACCAATTGCTGGGGGAAAGCGCGCACGCAGTCCCCCACTACCACAAATTATGCAGTCGAGTTTCTCCCATTTGGAGAAATCGCAGGCGTCAGCACACTCGCAGTGCAATGAGTGAGCCTCATCCTGGGAAAACCACCTTAGTGATCATGGTATCTCCCCTGCCAGGTAAGTATGAGCTGTTCTCTCCGCCACTCAGTACAGCCTTAGACGCCTACACTGTACACACACGCTCCCCACCCACCCTCCGCACCCCCTCCCCTTCCACGCCTCTCAGACCCTCCAAACTACTCTGCTAATAAAATCCAAGCAACTCTGCTAATAAAATCCAAGCAACTTCTCCGGAAAACTTCCACAGCCCGGGAAGTGGCTCGCCGGGAATTGCACCCATAAGCTGCAAGATTTACATAAGCCGAGCCCCATTCCTGTCGGCTTCGGCGGCTCCTCTCCTCCAACCCCCGCCCTGTCCCCGCCCTGCCGAGATGACCAATGGGCGGGCCGGCTGCTGAAGTGGAAGTGACGTCACCATGGCCGCCCACTTCGGGAGCCCACCAAGCCGAGGTAACACGCCTCTTACCCTTTATCTGAGATACCGGCGGATTTTGCCAGCCTCCTCGAATTCTTACTTTTTGTCCTGTGTTACACGCCGGGGAAAGGAATTCTGGGATCGTGTGTTACGCTGATCCAAAAATTTTTTAAGTAGTAAAGAAGTTGTAAAACAATGGATACAAGTATATATTTATGTATGTGTTTTGTGTATAAACATACAGATTCAGGGTTACATCTCAGAGTGCTACTCGGTGTATCGTCTGTGCACGTCTTTCCTACTTCATTCTCATGGTATCCCAGGGACCATGTTTTTCCTTTCCCCACCATACAGAATACAAGAAATGAAGATTCTGAAAAAGAAGCTGATGACCAAGGGATGATAAGGGATAGAAAGATGACGTGTTTGCTTGAAGAGTGAGGTTTGTTTGTTTGTTTTCTCTTACTGGGTAAGACTGGGTTAGACCTGAGGGCGGGGAGCGGGGAGACTGCCGAATGCAGGCAACTTGTGTTTTCAGACCAGAGAGCAAGGAGTGGCGTAACTTGATTCTTGAGGGTGCCTTTTGTTGTAGTTTCTTAGGACAGGGCCGAAAGTAAGCTCATTACACGAGATGAATTGTGCCAAAGCACAGCAGTAGAGGGCTGCCGCTCGCTCAGGCAAAACAGCGCCGTCTGTCCTGCTGTGGTAACTTTTATTAAAGCATTATCTAGGTTTACACTTTAAGACTTGTTTTCTTAACATTTCAGAAGTGCCAAAGCAGCAACCTATGTTTTTATTAATTATACAAGCAATAATTGGCTTTCGTGAGCACCTGCCGTGCTTCGTCCTTGAGCGCAAGAACAGCACAAAGTTCCCACCATTATTTTGATTATACTGAAGTAGCACAAGGACATTTCCTTGCGTTCCCACCACTCTGATTATACTGAGGACATCTCATGGATCAGTGCCCAAAGCACTCAATGCTTCTTTTGCAGGCCCCGGGTTTGCCGGGGGGGCGCTCGAAGCATTCAGAACTGTTCACAACTCTGGCTTATTCGCATGCCCCCGGTTTGCCGGGGCGGGGGTGGGGTGGGGGCGGGGCTCAAAGCAATCAGGACTGTTTGCAGTTCTGGCTTATTCGCCAGCCCCCAGTTTGCTGGGGGGGGGGGGCTCATGGGTCACGTCTCCTTTCCATGTCCTCAGTTATCCCACTACAGCCTTTGGCTTAAGGGGGAAGCTGACTCTTCCGGAGAATCCTGGAGCTGACAGCAAAGGAACTCAGCGCCCAGCCAACTTCCAGGAAGAAGCTTCCTTTCTTCCCCCTGCTTTCCCTCTTTCCCCTCCTTTTCCTCTCTGCAGCCATCAGAAATAAGCTCTGGCTCGTTTCATCTGAAACATACTTTATTCCAGGGATAGTAATAGCTCAGAGAATCTCCAGCAAACTGGAGAACCAGACTGTACAAACAGGGAAGAATAAGAAAGGCCAATGGAAGGGAGCACACAGACCAAATGGGAAGGACACTAGTGCCCCCTGCTGAGTGACAGACCCTGTAGCTTTGCACAGGTGACACTACTGGCCCTGGACACTAGACACTGCCAATGGCTCCATGACTTCTGCTGCACCTGGTCGGTGTTAAACTAAGGATCTTGAGGTAGGGAGATTCTTCTGTTGCAGGGGACAGAATAAATTTCCCCGGGGTCTACTCCTTGTGTCTCTCAACTCCTGTCAAATGCTGGAGTAGTTGTTGCTGATGGGGATTGGCCAGCTCTTGGTAATAGACCCCCATCTTAGCCCCTAGGAAAACTAAGTCAGCGAGTGCGTGATCCTTAAAAGTTGCAGAATGTGGGAAGTTTCTCATACAAACAAAGGGGGCTCAGATACTAGATGGCCTAGATATGACAAAAGACCCTCCTGTGCCCAACACCCTGCAGCCAGCCCTGTGGGGAGCATTATAAATCCAGCTCTGAAGCCCCTGATACCCTGTCCCAAACATACACCCGTGAACACCCAGTTTTGGATGGTGTCAGACTTTTACCCTGAGCACAGGGTGAGGGTTTCGACTCCTTATATGGTGATGGTTGATATATCACTCAGTATTATTTACATTATCTACACTGAGAATTGAAAAGTTTGAAAGTTCACATTTCTGGGGATAGAGTAATTGGTCTAAAGCCATGGTAACAAATAGCCACCAGAACTGGTTTTTAAATCCTCTCTATCTACCAGTGTCCACTGTAGGAGTTTCCTGTTGCTATTGTAACACATTACCACACACTTAGTGGCTTAAAACAACACACATTTTTTATCTTATGGTTCTGGAGATCAGAAGTCCAAGATGCATCTCACTGGGCTAAAATCAATCTGACAGTGGAGGTGAGGTTCTTTCTGGAGGCTCTAGGGGAGAATCTCTTTCTTTGCCTTTTCTAGCCTCTTGAATATGCCCACATTCTACTCTCACAGCCCCCTTCCATCTTCATAGCCAGTCACAGCTGATCAGGTTATTCTCACAATGCATTATTCTGAGACCAACTCTCCTTCCTCCCTCTTTCACTTATATGGACCCTTGTGATTCCATTGGACCCTCCAGGATAATCTCCCCATCTCAAGGTCCTTAATTTAATCACACCTGCAAAGTCTCTCTTGCCATGTCAAGTAACATGTTCACAAATTCCAGGGACCAGGATGTGGACATCTTTGGGGAAGCATTATTCTGCCGCCACAGCCAGTCTCCTCAGCGAACACATTTCTGCAAACATATCAGTCAGTGGTGGCCCCTCTCTTCTGAAAGTCAGCCAGGTGAAAACAACTGAGTCCACTGCCTTTGAGTGTCAGCCAGTCAACAGCCGTGCCCCATGTTGAGGCATTTGAGTCAGAGAGAGAGAAGGAGAAAGTCTGTGGGGAGAGGAATCTGAGGCCCCAGTGCCTGGGAAGTTCCCGGGGACCAGAGCTGAGAGCTGCAAACGCCTTCATGGGAGGAGGAGGCTGGAGAGGGTGTTAGGAACTGAATGTATGTGTTCCACCACCCGCCCCCCAAATTCATATCTTGAACCCTAATCCCTGTGGGGCTGTATTTGGAGAAGGGGCCTTTAAGGAAGTAATTAAGATTAAATGAGGTCATAAGCTTGGAGCCCTGATCTGACAGGATTAATGTCCTTAAATGAAGAGAGCTTGGGCTCCTGCCCTATCCCAGCTCAAGCAAGGAGAAAAGGCCATGTGAGGACCCAGCGAGGCATCTGCTGTCTACAAGCCAGGAAGAGAGCTCGCAGCAGAAACTGAATTGGCAGGAACTTCCAATCTTGATCTTGGACTTCCAGTCTCCAGAATGTGTGAAAACAGATTTCTGGTTAAGCCACCCTGTCTATAGTACATTTTTCTGGAAACCCAAGCTGACTAATACAGATGGTCACTTAGCCATTGGCCTAAGCAGCTTCTCCTACATGGTCCTTTCTGGGATCTGCCCCAGTTTTGTTCATTTCTTGTAATTAGCACTCACCACCTGCTTTGCCCTTCTTAAGGGTGATCCATGACTTTGGAATGAGGATTGATCACCTGGTTTAGGATTTCAATAGCATAATTTGCTACATGTAGCAATGACCTGCACCAAGGATCTTCTTAGAATTTCTTTTGAATGAGTTTGACATCTTCCCAAATTTCAACCTAGCATGACTTGGACAGCTGGACTGAGATTCTGCAGAGTGACCCCGTGACCCCATGTGGCCTGCATTTCCTTTTCTCATGAGAGATTTGCGTACTTTGGACTCTCCAAACCACAGACCAGGGTTTGGCTGCTGGTAAGGGATCTGTGCCTAGCTCTGGGGAAACCTAGGGAGAAAGGAAAGACCCCCAGAATCAAGGCATGGGAGGCTGCTCTTGTGGGGATAAAGGAGCCTGGAGGATGAGAGAGGAGGCTGGGGTGTGTGTGTGTCCAGCATGAGGTCAGGGGAAGTTCAAGAGAGGGCAGCTGCCATTCTGGGACCAGAGGCTAGAACCTCCATGGCATTCACGCTCTGGTCATCGTCCTCCTTATTCTTCCTCAGCTTCCGCCTCCCCCTTCCTCGCCATCCTCCCCTACCTTCTCCCCAGGCGTTTTTGTTCCCACTCCTCCTTCTTGTTCCTGCCCCTCTTGCTCCCATCCTCCCATCCCTTCCCCCCGACCCCCAGAGCAGGCCAACATGGGAAGGGACTGCCCCAGTCTGAGAGGACGACGAGGGAGTATCTTCCACCAGCCTGAGAAACACGAACACATTGCTCTCTGGTCAGAACCTGGTTTGGAGGAGACAGAGCAAGATGGCTCTGCCTGAGGAGCTCATCCTCCACAGCCAACCCAGGCAGCACGGGCCTTAGGCCGACCCCGGGGATGTGTGGCCAAAAGTCAGGAAGCTCTGGACATGGATTGCTGACATCTGGTCCACAAGATTCCAGACAAGTTAATATCTTGGTGCCTGCCTTCTTTACAAGGCAAGTTCCAAGGGAAGGACTGTGGCTCCCCTTCCTGGCCGCCTGGCGAAGGCACACAAGGATCCCTCTGTTCATGCAAGGGTGGGTCTGAGAAAACCCTCCCATCTGTTCCACGGAGACCAGCTGAAAGTTCATAGTTAAAAGTTAGTGGCGTCCCAGGTGCACTGACTCTACCACCACCTTCACCTCCTCCACCACGCACTCTTTGTCTCCGATGAGATTTCTACCATCAGAGTCAGCCTTGGAGGGGGGAAAAGGCCACATTTTGGGGAAAAAAAAAAAAAGATCTAAAGAGACTAGTACTTGTGCAATTGTATGGACAGCAGTGAAGCACTCCTAGGGTTCTAAGCTGACTTTATCTTGATTCACTGGTCTAGATTGTGCCTTCAGGTAGTGTCTTATTTTAACTAAACTTTGTTGAAATTAGAGAAGTTCTTTTCTTCATAGTTCCAATATTAGTTGGCATCTGAGTTAATAGTTTTGTGACCAGCAGAATAATACTGTCTCCCCCAGGATGTGCCTGCTGTAATTCCCCCACCTGTTCATATATTACACCACATAAGAAAGGCAACTTTGCAGATGTGATTCGGGTAAAGACCTTGTGATGAGATTATCTTGGGCCATTCAGGTGGGCCCCATGAAATTACATGGGGCCTTAGAATTGAGAGGCAGAAAAGGTCAAAATGGTGTGAAATTAGAAGGACTCTACCTGCTGTTCTGGTTTTGAAGTTGTAGGAAGGGGTCAAAAGCCAAAGAATGTGGGAGACGTCTAAAAACTTTCTAGGAAAGCAAGGAAAGAGATTATCCCTTACAGCCTCCAGAAGGTAAGGCAGTTCTGTTGACCCCTTGATTTTAGTCCAGTGAGATCTTTGTTGGACTCCTAACCTACAGAATTGTAATATAATAAAAGTGTGTTCTTTTAAGACACTAAAGTTATGGTCACTTGTTACAGCAGAAATAGAAAACCAATTCAGTAAATGTCTAGCATATTCACTTTAGCAGTAATAAGATCTGGGGGATATAATAAACCCTGTATAAATTCTGCAGGTTGTTTGCCTGTCGTAGGTTGACAGATCAAGAGATATTTGTACATGTTTGGGCTTCCCTGGTGGCACAGTGGTTGAGAATCTGCCTGCCAATGCAGGGGACACGGGTTCGAGCCCTGGTCCGGGAAGATCACACATGCCGCGGAGCAACTAAGTTCGTGTGCCACAACTAATGAGCCTGTGCTATAGAGCCCGCGAGCCACAACTACTGAAGCCCGTGCGCCTAGAGCCCATGCTCTGCAACAAGAGAAGCCACCGCGATGAGAAGTCCTCGCACCGCAATGAAGAGTAGCCCCCACTCGCCGCAACTAGAGAAAGCCCGTGCAGCAACGAAGACCCAACGCAGCCAAAAATAAATAAGTAAAATAAATAAATAAAAAAAATAAATTTATTTTAAAAAGATGTTTGTACATGTTTGAAGCATTACATTAGGTACCTGCTGTCTTTCTTCCTTTCCATTTTTTTTCCTAAAGGGCTCACCCTATTTCCTGCACAGGACCCGACATGGTTCTCATTTGAATTATGGCAAGTTGGAAGACATTGGTGGTCATGCAGGTTGATTTTATTTTTAAGAATGAGTTCTGTTTCTGACATATAGAGGAAAAGAATGTAAGTTATAAAAAGTTAAATATTGGAGAATCTTCCTTTCCAAAGATACATTTTTTGCAACTTCTTTAATAGGGTAAAGAACTACATTTCAAAGCGTGAAACACAAGAATGGCTATTGGGAATTTTCCCCATAAGTAATTTGTGACTTGATCCTGACCAGCTCTGAGATCTGTATGATTCATGTTGTTGCTTTCGTAAATGTTATGTCCATAAAATGAAGTTCTTAGAAGCAATATTTGAGTTCTCCACTGGATTTAGGAAGAATTGCTGGGATGCTTGAATAACTGCAGAGCAAGAGGCCCTCAAATTTTCCTACTTTGTCTTTAAGTAATACTTCATAGTTTGGCTGACTTTTCATCCATTCTGCTGATTCTGTCAATGAGATCCTCTTTATTGACAGCCAAAGGCACTCATGGAAAATGCTTAAACAACCAAGTGTAAAAGCAGAAGTTGAGGTCACTTCATCTACTATGAAATTGGGGCATGTCTCTATCTCAGACCTGAGTCTGTTGATGGATGTGTTTGTTATTGTTGTTGGTGGTTGTGATCATGGTTGAATTTTTTGTTTGTGTTGTTGTTTGTTTTAATTTATTATTAGCTCTAGGGTATAATTGTGGAATGATAGCTTTATTTTATTTTATTTTTTTTAACATCTTTGTTGGGGTATAATTGCTTTACAATGGTGTGTTAGTTTCTGCTTTATAACAAAGTGAATCAGTCATATGTAAACATATGTTCCCATATCTCTTCCCTCTTGCGTCTCCCTCCCTCCCACCCTCCCTATCCCACCCCTCCAGGCTGTCACAAAGCACCAAGCCAATATCCCTGTGCCATGCGGCTGCTTCCCACTAGCTATCTACCTTACTACGTTTGTTAGTGTGTATATGTCCATGACTCTCTCTCGCCCTGTCACAGCTCACCCTTCCCCCTCCCCATAACCTCAAGTCCGTTCTCTAGGAGGTCTGCGTCTTTATTTCTGCCTTACCCCTAGGTTCTTCATGACATTTTTTTTTCTTAAATTCCATATATATGTGTTAGCATACGGTATTTGTCTTTTTCCTTCTGACTTACTTCACTCTGTATGACAGACTCTAGGTCTATCCACCTCATTACAAATAGCTCAATTTCGTTTCTTTTTATGGCTGGGTAATATTCCACTGTATATATGTGCCACATCTTTATCCATTCATTCGATGATGGGCACTTAGGTTGTTTCCATCTCTGGGCTATTGTAAATAGAGCTGCAATGAACATTTTGGTACATGACTCTTTTTGAATTTTGGTTTTCTCAGGGTATATGCCCAGTAGTGGGATTGCTGGGTCATATGGTAGTTCTATTTGTAGTTTTTTAAGGAACCTCCATACTGTTCTCCATAGTGGCTGAACCAATTCACATTCCCACCAGCAGTGTAAGAGTGTTCCCTTTTCTCCACACCCTCTCCAGCATTTATTGTTTCTAGATTTTTTGATGATGGCCATTCTGACTGGTGTGAGATGATATCTCATTGTAGTTTTGATTTGCATTTCTCTAATGATTAATGATGTTGAGCATTCTTTCATGTGTTTGTTGGCAGTCTGTATATCTTCTTTGGAGAAATGTCTATTTAGGTCTTCTGCCCATTTTTGGATTGGGTTGTTTGTTTTTTTGTTATTGAGCTGCATGAGCTGCTTGTAAATTTTGGAGATTAATCCTTTGTCAGTTGCTTCATTTGCAAATATTCTCTCCCATTCTGAGGGTTGTCTTTTGGTCTTGTTTATGGTTTCCTTTGCTGTGCAAAAGCTTTGAAGTTTCATTAGGTCCCATTTGTTTATTTTTGTTTTTGTTTCCATTACTCTAGGAGGTGGGTCAGAAAGGATCTTGCTGTGATTTATGTCATAGAGTGTTCTGCCTATGTTTTCCTCTAAGAGTTTGATAGTTTCTGGCCTTACATTTAGGTCTTTAATCCATTTTGAGCTTATTTCTGTGTATGGTGTTAGGGAGTGATCTAATCTCATACTTTTACAGGTACCTGTCCAGTTTTCCCAGCACCACTTATTGAAGAGGCTGTCCTTTCTCCACTGTACATTCCTGCCACCTTTATCAAAGATAAGGTGTTCATATGTGCGTGGGTTTATCTCTGGGCTTTCTATCCTGTTCCATTGATCTATCTTTCTGTTTTTGTGCCAGTACCATACTGTCTTGATAACTGTAGCTTTGTAGTATAGTCTGAAGTCAGGGAGCCTGATTCCTCCAGTTCCTTTTTTCGTTCTCAAGATTGCTTTGGCTATTCGGGGTCTTTTGTGTTTCCATACAAATTGCAAAATTTTTTGTTCTAGTTCTGTGAAAAATGCCAGTGGTAGTTTGATAGGGATTGCATTGAATCTATAGATTGCTTTGGGTAGTAGAGTCATTTTCACAATATTGATTCTTCCAATCCAAGAACATGGTATATCTCTCCATCTATTTCTATCATCTTTAATTTCTTTCATGAGTGTCTTATAATTTTCTGCATACAGGTCTTTTGTCTCCTTAGGTAGGTTTATTCCTAGATATTTTATTCTTTTTGTTGCTATGGTAAATGGGAGTGTTTTCTTGATTTCACTTTCAGATTTTTCAACATTAGTATATAGGAATGCCAGAGATTTCTGTGCATTAATTTTGTATCCTGCCACTTTACCAAATTAATTGATTAGCTCTAGTAGTTTTCTGGTAGCATCTTTAGGATTCTCTATGTATAGTATCATGTCATCTGCAAACAGTGACAGCTTTACTTCTTCTTTTCCGATTTGGATTCCTTTTATTTCCTTTTCTTCTCTGATTGCTGTGGCTAAAACTTCCAAAACTATGTTGAATAAGAGTGGTGAGAGTGGGCAACCTTGTCTTGTTCCTGATCTTAGTGGAAATGCTTTCAGTTTTTCACCACTGAGGACGATGTTGGATGTGGGCTTGTCATATATGGCCTTTATTATGTTGAGGAAAGTTCCCTCTATGCCTACTTTCTGCAGGGTTTTTATCATAAATGGGTGTTGAATTTTGTCAAAAGCTTTCTCTGCATCTATTGAGATGATCATATGGTTTTTCTCCTTCAGTTTGTTAATATGGTGTATCACGTTGATTGATTTGCATATATTGAAAGTCCTTGCATTCATGGAATAAACCCCACTTGATCATGGTGTATGATCCTTTTAATGTGCTGTTGGATTCTGTTTGCTAGTATTTTGTTGAGGATTTTTGCATCTATGTTCATCAGTGATATTGGCCTGTAGTTTTCTTTCTTTGTGACATCCTTGTCTGGTTTTGGTATCAAGGTGATGGTAGCCTTGTAGAAGGAGTTTGGGAGTGTTCCTCCCTCTGCTATATTTTGGAAGAGTTTGAGAAGGATAGGTGTTAGCTCTTCTCTAAATGTTTGATAGAATTCGCCTGTGAAGCCATCTGGTCCTGGGCTTTTGTTTGTTGGAAGATTTTTAATCACAGTTTCAATTTCAGTACTTGTGATTGGTCTGTTCATATTTTCTATTTCTTCCTGATTCCGTCTTGGCAGGTTGTGCCTTTCTAAGAATTTGTCCATTTCTTCCAGGTTGTCCATTTTATTGGCATAGAGTTGCTTGTAGTAATCTCTCATGATCTTTTTTATTCCTGCAGTGTCAGTTGTTACCTCTCCTTTTTCATTTCTAATTCTATTGATTTGAGTCTTCTCCCTTTTTTTCTTGATGAGTCTGGCTAGTGGTTTATCTATTTTGTTTATCTTCTCAAAGAACCAGCTTTTAGTTTTATTGATCTTTGCTATCATTTCCTTCATTTCTTTTTCATTTATTTCTGATCTGATTTTTATGATTTCTTTCCTTCTGCTAGCTTTGGGGTTTTTTTGTTCTTCTTTCTCTAATTGCTTGAGGTGCAAGGTTAGGTTGTTTATTCGAGATGTTTCCTGCTTCTTAAGGTGGGCTTGTATTGCTATAAACTTCCCCCTTAGAACTGCTTTTGCTGCATCCCATAGGTTTTGGGTCGTTGTGTCTCCATTGTCATTTGTTTCTAGGTATTTTTTGATTTCCTCTTTGATTTCTTCAGTGATCACTTCGTTATTAAGTAGTGTGTTGTTTAGCCTCCATGTGTTTGTATTTTTTACAGATCTTTTCCTGTAATTGATATCTAGTCTCATAGTGTTGTGGTCAGAAAAGATACTTGATACAATTTCAATTTTCTTAAATTTACCAAGGCTTGATTTGTGACCCAAGATATGATCTATACTGGAGAATGTTCCATGAGCACTTGAGAAAAATGTGTATTCTCT